CTCCCCTCCCTCTTCCGCGCCACGCCGCCGCCGATCCGTTGATCCCCGCGCCGTCAACACGCCGCCGCCGGAGGTACAAACACGGGCGCGCCGCCGCCGGCGATTTCTGACCGGCGCACAGGTCTACTCGAAGGAAAAATCCATCAATGTAACCCTGTTTGGCAGTCAATGTTTTCTAGTGGACCGCTGACTGTGCCTGACTGTACTTCAAGCATGTCTGATTGGCGAACAAGTACTCTGACCGACAGTCAAACTCCAGTCAGACTCCGCTTGTCGGCTTTCTGATGGTTTCCTGGTGGCAGTCGGCCGCCGCGAAATCGCGAAATGCCATCAGGATGTCTTGGTGGTGATTCTGACTGTACATCGATTGTCTCTGACTGTACGTCAAAAAGCTTTGACGTGCAGACAGACGTACGGTCAAAGGACGTAAAGTTCGTTCGGATACCACTATTTCGTCAAATCTATGAATACGAAAAGTAATCTATGCACGAGAAAACGATTTCGGGACGTGAGCCCATAAAACCGCTGACGTTAGAGATATGACACGCAACCGACCGACAACCTTGATCAGAAGCCCGCCGAAGCGCTATGGAAGCGCCCATAGAGGCTTCGCCGAGCTTTCATGAACGATCGCTCTCGACTCGTTTTGTTTGCCCGCTTGCTCCAACGTGTCGATCCTGCCCGGGCCCCGGGCTCTACACTGTCTTATGTTTTAGTAGAATTTCTACTCGACAAGACCCAGCCTGTTGTGAGTTCCGACGATGTAAGGGACTTTAGCGGTGCAGTTGAAGACGACAAGGTGTACCAGGTCTACGGGGCCGGTGACGCGCGAACAAAAGGATCGTTCTACGACGCGAAAGTACTCTACATGGCAGGTGAGTAGAACTGAAGTACGGCGAGTGATGTACGAGTGCTTTGCATAACATGCAGACGGCTTAACTGCATTTGCAGCCGAAGCATCTCGTATAAAACGAATAGTCAAATAGAGTTTCCAAAGCGGTGGCATAGCATAATTCTCCACATGCCGCAAGATGGTCTCCACCTGTCTCTTGGAAGAGCAAACGAAGGATACGTCATCCGCAAAGGCTAAAACGCGGACATTCTCGTTTCCTAGTTGTAGTCCCGTGATAGTTTGGTCTTCATTGATCGCGCGACATAGTGGCTCAAGCTGCAGCGCGAAGAGAATTGGCGAAAGGGGGCATCCCTGACGGACCGACCTCCCTATGCGGATGGGCGCTCCCCTGTCTCCGTTGATGAGTAGGCGTGTGCTGATGTCGCGGTAGCAGAGGGCTATCCACCCCCGCAGCTCCTCCCCCACACCGAAGTGTTTGAGCGCTGCATGGAGAAATTTATGAGACACCCTGTCAAACGCTTGACGCAGGTCCAGCTGAATCACAGCGAGAGGCTCGTGACCCACAGCGGTCGCCTCGCAGACGGAGCGCATGGCGTGCAGGTTCCGCGCTATCGATCGGCCACGGATCCCGTAGCTCTGATGGGGCCCTATGACGGATCTAAGCCCAGTGTCGAGTCGTCTTGCCAGTATCTTGGCTAGAATCTTGTAGTCACAGCAAAGTAGGCTGATCGGGCGGAAGTCAGTGACCTCAGCTACAGGACTTGTCTTTGACTTCTTCGGTATCAGTACAGTAAAACTTTCCCTCATGGACGGGGGGAGCAGCTTGCGTTTCTTTATGTCCTCGAACACCTGAACCAGGATTGGGCAGAGCGCATCCGAGAAGATCTTATAAAACTCTGCTCCAATGCCGTCCGGGCCGGGCGCCTTGTTGCGTGACAGTCTTTTTATAGCTTGCTTGACTTCTGACAGTCGAATTGGACAGTTCATAAGGTCACTTGCTTCTTCGGGCACGGTCGGCGACTCATGTAAAATTGACTCGAAGGCGGTCTCGTCCAGGTTTTCCTCCTGAAACAACCTCCCGAAAGCCTCCTCAAACGCGCCCGCAATTTCTTGCTGCGATGTTGCTACGCCCCTCTCGCCACGCACTTCCCTTAAGGTGTTTTCTCTCACCCTCTGTCTCTCATGTGTGCGGAAGATCTTGCAAGGCTGTATTTCCCCCTCAAGAGCCTGCACTCTGCTCCTGACTTGAGCTCCCCTGTAGCGCTCTTCGAGTATACCGAGCAGCTGTTCTTTGCAGTTCTTTATGTCGTCCGCAAACGTTCCAGGGTTTTGCTCCTCCTCCTCTAGAAGCATCCGCAGGGTCTTGGCCAGGTGGATTCGAGTCTCACGTGCCTCAGCAGCCCTGCGACGGCCAAACGCGCAGGCCGACTCCCGGAGACTTGCCTTAAAACTCTCCCAGGTGACCGCATCTACGCCGCTCTCGACCAGCCTCTCCAGAGCACACCTCGTTTTCCCGACGAACTCCTCGCTCTCCAGGACGCTGGCGTTCATCTTCCATGTTGTGTTGCGTCGCGCTCGCTCGGCCACCGGCGCGCCTGCTCGTAGAACTGTGGCGACGAAGCCGTGGTCCGAGAAGGGCACGATTTTCGCGTCATAGGATTGAACCCCGTCGGATAGCTCACTTGATACATATACTCTGTCCAGCCTGGCCTGGGATGCACCCTGCCATCTGGTAAAGCGCGGAGAGAAACTGTCGAGCACCTGAGTCACGTCCACAAGATCGAAGTCGCGCACAGCGTCGCGAAGCGTATTGGCGCCCACATCGATTCTGGGGACCGTTGATCCGCGCACTCGGTCGCGGCCATTCAGCACACAGTTGAAGTCTCCCCCGACGACGAGCGTCGCGGGGGTCTCGAGCTGTGTACGGAGTCCAATGAAAAAATCCTTTCGCTCTGATGGGTTGCTAGGAGCATACACGGATATTAGCCGCGTTAGTTCATTCCCGATCAAGACGTCAACCAGCGCGAAACGTCCATCGGCGCAGAGTTCAGGATGAGCAATCCGGACGCCGGTACTTTTCCTGATTAGGACGGCGGTGCCTCCGGCGCGGTTCAGGTCCGAGGTTAGCGTGTGTACACACCAAAAGATGTGCCCGAAGAATTGGACGAAACTCTTTGCCTTCTCTGCCGAGCAGATTTTCGTCTCTTGTAAAAGGATTATGTCTGCGTGCTCTTCGTTCAGAAGATCCATTAAAAACCGCTTCCTCTTTCGTGCTGTTACGCCTACACAGTTGAAAGTGGCTATTTTAATGTTGTTCATTAGGTTGGCTTATTTAGTTATAGAGACGTCTATAGTCGGTTACAAGTCAAGAAGGTAGGAGAAGCTCCTCCCACAAGCGTGATGCGCCCGTTTCAAATTTCTCCGCAGTCGAAAGAAGAGTTCGCTGGAAACGCTCCTTGTTCCGCTTCAATGGATTCCAACTTGTCTCCGATCCCACTTTTTAAGAAAGCGACCTTTGTATTCATCGGGGAGGGAACCGAGCCCCTGAAAGCAGCCTTTGTATCCATCGGGGGGGGAAGCTAATCCCCGAAAGTCGTATTTGTTTCCGTCGGTGGGGGAGAACTCTAATCTCCCTCTCGTGGCTTCCACAATGCTAAGTCAAAGACGAAAGATAAAGCAGATATGTACAGAAAGGCAAGAACCTCCTCGCGCGTTGGCCGCGACGTCACGGAAACGGTGGGACGCTATTGGATGCGGAGGTGGCGGAGGGATATCTGATTCCCTTTGAGGGGCATTTGCCGCTACCTTCTTAACCTGTAACCGACTATAGGGGACCAAGAGATAAGCGATGATAAGAGAAGCGGAAGGGAGAAAAAAGGAAGAAAAGACCGTGAAGAGGCGCAGTCTTGTACACGTTACTAAAAAAAAGTAATCGATTACAATTACTATTACTCTTGGCTAAAAAGTATTCGATTAGATTACTTGATTACTCGACGGCAAAAGTAATTGGACATTACTTAAAGAAGTAATCGTTACTTTTCAGATTACTTTATTGTGTAAAGACACATCTTTAGCGCTCATAACAATGTACTACTTCCAACCTATATTTCACATTTGCACAAGTATTGAAGAAGAAAAACTGGCTGCCTCTTCGTGGTCGTTGCACCTTCACAATGCGGACACAAGCATAGAATTCGTTTGAAGACGTTTAATGATATGGGCGTTCGCCAGTGTGTGTGTATGGGGGGGGGGGGGGGGGGGGAAGCAGAGGGGGTTCTAGATCTTGTTAAGCTTGACCAAGGGTTGTCGCTCAAAGTTTGCGTCGCTCATTTTATTATTTACATGTGGATGAGCTCGCATGTTATACAAAAGAACAGCAGCTCCAGGATTTGAAACGGATCATGTGTAGTATCCATTAGCGGAAGAGATCGCCCCGACCACTTCTCAACTCGAAACATTGCTTGTCACAAAAACCACGTAGGGGAAATGGGGAAATATTTGAACTGCCTTTGTTATATTTTGCATCCGCTTTAGGCATTCTTCGGTTCTGGTACCCCTACGGGCTGCGCGTAGGTACCCTAAGCAGGATATTTTTATTTTTCTATTTCTCTGTGTGTGTGCGTAAGGGGGCTAGTTTGAACGAAGGACTCACATAGCTACATTCTGCTTCCCACTCCCAGTCCCAGCTCAAAAAAACAACAAAAGAAAACGGACATTTTACAGAAACTGTACATAGAAAGAGATTAACCTCGTTTCCTACAGCTCCGCAAAAATCTTTCTTTTTTCCCTTCGAAAAAAAAGAAGCAAATTTTATTTTTGTCATTTCATTAAAAAAAAGGCGTGTGCCGGGTGGGTGGGGGGGGGGGAGGGGGGTCCCGTGGACAAATTGTAATGGTTACAAGTAATTTTATTACTTTAAAAAGTAATCAGATTACTCTTGTGATTACTGTCTAATAAATGTAATCAACTGATTACAAAATTACTCTAAAAAGTAATCGATTACAAGTAATTTGATTACTTGTAATGCGTACGGTACAAGTCTGGAAGAGGGGAACGACGGCGAGGCCGCCCAAGGGGAAGGGAAAATTATTCTCACCGACCGAGAAGGGGGCTAATCCTTCCCGTGCAGCGGCGGGTAGTCCAGGGATTACACATTCACTGCCCGGGGGCGCAGAGCTGGGATGGCCGCCTGCTCGTTCTTTCTAGTACGCGATTTGTGGCGCGTGACCTTGGTGGTGCCCTTGGCGACTTCCTCCTCGCTCGTCTGAGAAGACCGCACCGGAGCGGCTGCGTCCGCTGGCATGTCGCTCGGCGATGCTTGCCTCTCCGACGCGCTTTCGTTGTTGGAGTCGTTAGAGCCCCTTGCGCGTTTCCCTTGTTTCACGGTGTTTGACGCTTTAGGGTTGTCTACCTTTGCTGGAACCTGCGGCAGCGAAGTTGCGTTCTTGGAGGTGGACGCAACGTCCGTCACCTTGTCCTTTCCCTCGGGTCCTGCCTCCTCCTCGTTACCCCCCTCGGCCGGTGTTACCGCCTCCATCGAGTTGGCGGCAGGTTCGCTTTCACCCACCTCACCGTCGTCCAGAAGGTCGCTGTTTTGAAGCGTGTCCGCATGTCGCCTGGTTTTGGCGGCGTTGGTGGGCACACATTCAGACTCCAGGTGACCATAACCTCGGCAATGGCGGCACCAAGGCGCCCGGCATTGTTTGCGCATATGCCCCAGCTTGCTGCAGCGGAGGCACATCGGAGGTCGGCCTGGGACAGATATTAGAACGGGGTACCCGGCCACTTTTCCCTGGTGTGGTAGCTCATCCTTTGCAGTTCCTTCCTTCATGGTGATTGTCACTGCCCTTGCCGAGGTTTCGACTTCGTAAGTTCCACTTGGGGACTTCCACTTCTCCCTGGTGATTCGTGTTACGTTTCCATATTCCGCGAATGCTGCGCACACTTCTCCATCGGTCACGTACGTCGGTAGCCAGTTGACCCGGACGACGGCCTCCTTGACATTGGGGTCAATGACCACGCACTTTTTTCCTTTCACAGTGACTTCTTTCAGGGCCACGAGGCCTTCCTTTGCATCAGCGGAGTCCAGCGTGCATATCCACACGTGGTTGAACTGAAAAGCTCCCAGCCCAACCACGTGCTTCATGCCGACGGTTCCCTCGAGTGCTTCAGCAAAATCCTGCGTCCGGTAGGGCCTACCTTGAGGGTTCCTCCACAGTATGGAAAAAGGCTGCCAACTCGGTAGCATCCAAGCTCTCACCCTGGCAGTGCAGACATCTCTCCTTTTTCAACCGTGCCTACGTATGCAACGCTGTCATATACCCAGCCGTTCTCTACAGGGCACAGGCCGTATGCTGCCCTGGAGTGACGGCCAAGAGGATACACAGAAGCTGGGCCGTCTTTGTCTGGAAGTCATCCATGGAACGGACACGGCGGGAGAACCTCTTCCTACACCAGGAGGGCGGAGGTCTTGGCCTGGTAAACATCGTGCTCAAGCTACATGTACAGCGTTTTCTCCTCTTCCGGGACGCAAAGGACCCCGTTCTCCTGAGTGCGCTACACCACCTCGGCTTCCCTCACCTGGGAAGATGGATGGTGACCACCAGTGGCCGCACAGCGAAGGCAGCCGCATTGCGCTTTTACAGCGAAATAGCGGCCTCCATCGAGTTCTTCCTGGCTCGGTTCTCCTGGGACTATTTGGCGACCGTCGGCAAAAGAAAACTCTACTGGGACACAATTTCTGTGACCTTTCCATCGCCTTTGTATAGGCCGCCGTCAGTACCCGACGGCACAGCAGGACCTTTCAAGCTCGTGCGCCGTCTCCCTGTCTCTGCGGCCAGCAAGGACTTTTTTGTGCGCATGCATCTGGAGGTGCTTCCAGTCAAAACATGGCTGCACCGGAGGGGGATTTTTGTGCCCTGGTCGCTCAACTGCGACCTCTGCGGTGCCACCGAGACCATCCAACACGTCCTCGTCGAGTGCTCGAACGCCTACCTGTTCTGGGACAAGATGAGGACGATTTTCAACCTAAGAACAGCTTTCGACGTAGAGTGGGTTAACCTCAAGTATCTGGCTCTAGGCGGCAGGGAGACGGCAGAGGTGACCTATGTAGCAATGGTGAGGGTGTTGGTGTTGGTGCTACTAGGACTGCACGCCATCTGGCAATCGCGCACTGCGATGGTGCAATGCCACATAGACGCACGCCCAACCTGGGACTACTTCGTGGCCAAGCTGGACTGGGTGATATCACTGATTGACAGGGGGACAAGCACAGCGACCGACGAGTGGCGGTGCGTGGAAAGACAGCTGGAGGCCGGGGGTATCCGCCGTAGGCACCGGCCTCAGCGTGGTGGGGTTTGGCGGCTACCTCGCGAGAGCCAGTGCGGGGAAGCTGAGTGAGGGGCGCGCTGCGCAGGGGCGCCCTGTTGTGTTGTAAATACGTCATGCCCATGCCCATATAACGTATCTTTCCTCTGTTTTGCTCGGGCCAGTGACGGTCAAGTTCGTTCTGCTTTGTAAGTCTATCTGTTCAACTGTTGTGCAAACCACCTGCGAGTGGAAATCATCTGTAAATAATATGTAAATAAATGTGTTTTTAAGGGAAAAAAAAAAAAAAAAAAGGTGGCATAGCATAACGGTTAGGGTGCCCGATATGGGAGCAAGTGGTCGCGGGTTCGATGCGCGCTTGTCCTGCATTTTTTTTTTCGAACATTTTGTTTTATCGAGGCATTTGGCGATATTTATGAGTGCGTATAGCTTTACTTTTATATAAATGCTGCCCTTGTTGATGAAATTCCCTTGGCAGTGGCAGTCAGACGTCATCTGATGGACCATCAGATGACGTCTGATGGTCCATCACGTTCCACCAAGGCTGCTGACTGGCAGTCAGTGTCCCAAATTACGTACCTTGATGGAGTTTTCAATAGGGTACTTTGTGGACAGTGTGGCCAGACCTTGATACAAGCATGTCTAGGTTTGGAGAATTATTTTTTTTATGCAAAGGGTTATTTTATTCTGTGAACACCTGCAATTAAAAGAAACTAATTCTATTCACTGAAGAAGTTGAAGGGACACTGACAGGGTATTTATGCTCGCCGAGGTTTTTAGTTGTACGTGACATATGAGAGCTCGAAATTCGGTTTCTTTCCGCCCGAAAACCGCCGATCAAGAACTGGCCGGTTCGAGTCTCGCTCACTCTCTTTTCCGCGGTCACGGGCCGTTTTCTAAGGTATCGATGCGACCACCAAATTTAATCAAAGTCGTGGGTCAATATTAAAAATAGAAAAAAATATGAAACCCATTTTTTGTGGCTTCTAAAAAGCTGCAAATACGTTGATTAAAAAAAAAAGTTTCACAGACAACCGGAAGCATTCTGTGCGTGCGTCGTTTCGCGTATCGTGGGACTCGCAGGGACGGCGATGGCAGCGGACGACGGGCGTGGGACCTCTATTTCAAGACTGTCGTTCGCGGTACTGGCGAATTCTGTCTACCTTTAAAAGAGAAATTTGGGACTGATCAAAGGAATTGGTATTCATCCCGTACGACACGCCCGACCACCAAGCCGATTTGCACGAAGACGTCGCCGAGCCGTCGCTCCCTTCTCGTGGCTGAAGACATCGCTCGCGCAAACGTCAAGCAGGACGTGTCTACTTCGAGTTGAATATGCACGCGTACGATTTCTTTACAAGGTGAGTATGTCGCCAATGCGTGGTGCATCCCGACTTCGACCTGGGAGTGTTTTTGCTAAAGGAAAATCGGTAGCAAACTTTCCAACTTACAGTTTATCGGCTGAATTATTACTGAGGAAAGAGATCCCCTAGTTTCGATATGCCCCAGTAGCTTAGTGGGAAAGACGTAGGATCGGGTTCGATCCCCCCTAAACTTTTTTTTATTTTTTTCATATGTTTTTCGATGTCTACATTTCTTTTCTTTTTTTACAATTATCACTGAAGAAACAACACACAAAAAAATAAGAAACAAATCTTGTGGACGACACGTCGCTGAATTAAATGGTATGGGATTTCCTTTTTGACACCTGCGAACTCAATGTAATCACTTTCCACAAAATGCAAGGAGCATATAAATCAGGTAGCGTCCGCTTTCCGAGGTGCCCGTAAATGGTCTACAGGAATTGCAGCCAGCCATTGGTCCCGATCCCGTTGATTTTTCGGAAACTCTGTCGCACAATGATGTAGTGATGTGGATTTTATGTGTGCGCGTGCAACACATATAGCAGCGGGGAAAAGGAGAAAGAGGAGGAATAAATCCAGGGAATGGAAATGGCTGCCCCTCGTTCATTCTACACGCAGTAGTAGCACACCGCTTATGCACCGCGATTGCAACTCTACAATGGCGACGAGGATGCTTCAGACTGTCTCCGGCTACAGTTCTGACAGGTAACTCCCTTGCACGAACTCACAGCCAGCCAGTGATCTACCAAACTGTGTTGGCTCCGAAGCTATAGTCCTACATTCCCACCAACAATGGCGTTGATCCCGGCTCCTCTGCTCAGGTTCGACTTGGACGCCACCGACGCCGCTAACATCGGCTCCGAATGGCGACGGTGGGTAACCAGATTCGAAAACTTTATCATTGCTTTTGACGTGAAAGATGACGCACGCAAACGCGCCCTTCTACTTCACTATGCGGGGGAGCGAATTCACGAAATCTCCGAGACTCTCCCTGACTTGCCGAGTAACTTAACATCCGGCCAAACGCCAGCGACTGTCGTGGCTGATTCCTCATCAGGCACCACTACAACCGTGAGCACGTATAAGGATCTCAAAGACAAGCTCGACGCCTACTTCAACCCACACATGAACAGTACGTTTGAAATCTTTCAATTTCGGCAGGCGAAGCAACTCGATGGCGAGTCCATCAGTCAATTTTCAATCCGACTTCGGCTTCTTGCTCGGAATTGCGGATTTGCTAACCCCGATTTCGAAATCAAGAACCAAATCATATTTGCGACAACATCATCGCGTCTGAGACGGACAGCTTTGAGGCAGGACCTCGACCTTACAGCCCTTCTGAAACAAGCTCGGCTCTTCGAAGATGTCGAACGCTCAACAACAGCAATGGAGACATCAACTAATGCCGCTGTCCACAATCTCGATAAAGAATCTCGCCAAGACCGTGCAGGCTATACACCAAGAAGCACTTCATCACCTCGGCGGAAGCCAAAACTTCGAGCACAACACTATCAAGATTCATCTCCTCAGTGCTTCCACTGTGGTGGCAGTTGGCCCCATGAGGGAGGACAAGCAAACTGTCCTGCCAAGTCGTCCTCCTGCAGAGCTTGTGGCAGAAAAGGCCATTTCAGAAAAGTCTGTCAGTCAGCCCACAAGCCCATACTTCATCTGTCACGTGACTCTGACTCTGACGAGAACATCTACGCCATTGGAACCGTTTCGGAGATATCTAACCGTAGCCTTCCACAAGCTTGTGTAGATATCAACAACACCCTCGTGCACTTTCTAATCGACACAGGTGCTTCAGTGTCAGTCATCGGGACTCACACCTTAGAAACTCTAAGAAAACCTGCTGAGCTGCAACAAGCAGGAGTTCGGATTTACGCATATGGGTCAAGCACGCCTCTACCCATCCTTGGCAAATTAAGCGCCACGCTGACATACAAGGACATCAGCATAAGAGAAGACATTTTCGTGATGGAGGGTTCAATGAGGTCATTGTTAAGCTTCGCTGCTGCGAACAGACTGGGCCTCATCAAAATCACGTACGCCGTGGATTCGTCCCAGCAAGCAGCACCTCTGAGCCCGAGCGCTGAAGCCACGTCGAGCTCCTTTGGGACACCACTCAAGGCCTTTCCTGAGCTATGTGCCGGTATTGGCAAACTAAAAAACATCCAAGTACATCTTCACGTTGACAGGGGAGTCGTTCCAGTCTCTCAACCTCACCGAAGAATACCCTTTGCGCTGCGAAGCAAAGTGGAAGAAAAAATCAGCCAGCTTCTATCCTTGGACATCATTGAAGAAGCAACAGGACCCACCCCGTGGGTTTCTCCAGTTGTAATCGTGCCAAAACCGCAAAACCCAGACGAGATTCGATTATGCATCGACATGAGATGCGCAAACAAAGCCATCCTTCGTGAGAGGCATGTCTGCCCTACCTTCGACGACTTGGTCATCGCACTGAATGGGTCAACGTAATTTACAAAACTTGACCTAAAGGATGGATACCATCAACTAGAACTTGACGAAGAATCAAGAATAATAGCGACATTTGCGACACACACCAAGCTCTATCGATACAAGCGCCTAATGTTTGGCATTAACGCGGCCGCCGAAGTCTTTCAGGAAACTATTCGCCAAGTCCTTAATGGAATACCTCACGTCCTCAACATCAGTGGCGACATACTAGTGTTTGGTAAAACAAAACAAGAACACGACGAGGCCGTGGAGGCCACACTTGTAAGGTTGAAAGAATGGGGCCTCACAGTTAACCCAAAGAAATGCCTCTTCGCACAGACGAGCCTGTGCTTCTTTGGACACATCTTCTCCGCTTCTGGCATTACTGCGGATCCCCAAAAGATTGCAGCATTTAGGGAAATTGAAGCTCCCACTAACGCGCATGAGGTTCGAAGTCTGCTTGGCACTGTAAACTACAGCGGACGCTTCCTTCCTAATCTCGCGGACCTTACACACCCCCTTCGGCTCCTCACCAAGAAAACTGCCAAGTGGGTCTGGGGACCAACAGAGCAGGCTTCCCTGGACAACTTGAAGGGAAAACTCTCTGAAGTACATAATCTCGCATTTTTCGATGGCACAAAGGAGATCATTCTTACAGTTGACGCATCCCCTGTTGGACTCGGTGCCATATTAGCACAGAAGACAGACAATATCATTAAAACTGTCGCGTACGCTAGCCGTGCTTTGACCCCCACGGAATCACGATACTCCCAAATTGAACGTGAACTACTTGCTGTGGTATGGGGAGTTGAGCATTTTCACCTGTACCTATATGGCAACACATTTCTTCTCCACACAGACCACAAACCACTCGTGTCAATCCTTACCAATCCAAGAGCCTCTCCCTCGGCACGCCTTGAGCGTCTCGCTCTGAGAATTCAGCAATATAACTTCAGAGTGGAACATACGCGTGGAAGCAGCAACCCTTCGGACTACTTGTCTCGCCATCCCTTGCCAAATCTTCCCGCTGATGCCAACCTGGCTCATGCTACTGATGCGTATGTCAACCTTATTGCTCAATGCCATCTTCCAAAAGCTATGACTAGCGCAGAAGTAGTTGAGGCCACGGCTAGTGACCAACATCTACAGGAAGTGATCGCTGCCCTCAAGAGCCCTGCCAGATGGCGCAACCCAGCTCTCAGGGACTTTGTGTCAATACAACACGAGCTCTCTGTGGCAGACAATGACCTGCTGCTGAAAGGTACTCGTCTCGCTCTACCCGCCGCTCTCCAGCAACGAGCCATATCTCTTGCACATGTGGGGCACCAAGGGATAACCAAGACAACCAAGCTCATGAAGCAGAAGGTCTGGTTTCCTCATCTCGATACTAAAGTGCAAACAGCTCTGAAAACCTGTATGCCGTGCCAAGCGACCATTCAGTACCGACATGCCGATCCCATCGCCATTCCAGAAAAGCCTAGTCGGCCTTGGGAAGCCCTCTCACTTGACTTCGCCGGTCCATTTCCAAACGGCAAATACCTGATGGTCCTTATGGATGACACGTCCCGCTATCCTGTCGTAAAGATATTGTCATCGCTCACCAGCCAATCCGTCATCAATAGCATCACCAAGATCTTCAGCATCTTCGGAATTCCAAAGGTGATCAAAACGGACAACGGAGCCCCGTTCCAGAGCCACGACTTCAAGCAATTCGCCCACACGCTAGGATTCCACCATCAGCGTATTACACCGCACTGGCCGCAAGCGAATGGGGAAGTGGAGAGATTCATGCGAACATTGAAACGGTTCATACAAGCGACAACACTGGAAAACAATAGCTGGACCTCCAAGCTGGGCGAATTCTTGATGGCCTACAGGGCAACACCCCATTCAGCAACTGGAACCCCACCTTTTAATGTGCTTTTCGGCAGGTCCATGGGATATCTTCTCCCAAGCTGCTCCAATGACAACCCACCTCAGAAGTGGCAAGACACAGATCTCCAAGATCGCACAAAACACAAGATATACGCTGACAAACGTAGGCACGCCCGGCCTCACAACCTCACTGTGGGAGACCGAGTTCTCTCCAAACAAAACCAAAGAAACAAGCTGACCCCAGCTGCCTATGATCCCAAGCCATACCAGGTCATCGATGTCAAGGGGACGCAAATTACGGCACGGCGGGATCACGGCATAATAACAAGAAACGCTAGTTTTTTTAAACCCATGCCCCCCACCACGAGCAAAGGATCCGAAGGTGACTGTGACTCGGACAACGCGTGGTTCAATGTCCACCTCTCTCAAGATGGCTGCAGGGGAACGCTTCCAGACCCGACTGATCGAGAAACCGAGCAACGCCTCGTTCGGGGGGAGGACGAAAGAGACCGATCTGTTGAAGCCCCTGCCCCTGATCCACCAGGAACATCGCGACCGATCCGTACCAGGTGCCCTCCTGCACGACTCAAGGACTACGTCTGCTCTTAATGGGCCTTTCGTTCTGGTCATTTGTCTGCTTCTTGGGGGGAAGTGATGTAGTGATGTGGATTTTATGTGTGCGCGTGCAACACATATAGCAGCGAGGAAAAGGAGAAAGAGGAGGAATAAATCCAGGGAATGGAAATGGCTGCCCCTCGTTCATTCTACACGCAGTAGTAGCGCACCGCTTATGCACCGCGATTGCAACTCTACAAATGCCACTTCTGTTTCGGACGCAGGACATGTGAGCCAGTTCTTCACGCAACATCTTGGGTGTATTCTTTTCGGAGCCGATCAAAATTCACCACGGGCACTCACTACTCATCTCCAACTCCTCAATATACAAAACAACTCATCTTGGAGTACAGAACAACGAGCGGAACATACATAACTGCAAAAAATCCCACGGCGAACAGTTCCCGTACGCCGCATGTCGTCTGCTACCGGGAAGGAGAAAAAAAAAAAAAAACACACACACACACAGTCGGGTGTAGCCACGTGATTTCCGCCACTCGCTCTCTTCTCTCCACTTCTCCGACCTCCGTCGGGTTTCGGTTTCGGTTTCGAGCAGTTGCGTCTTTTGGCTTTACTAAAAAAATACGCTACTCTGTTGCAAAATATTAATTGGGTAGTCCTCCGTCACCATAATGAAGCGCCTGGCAAAAAATTAAAAATAAATTTTGGTGGGTGTCAGTGTCCCTTTAATAACTTAAATTTTAGTACTGTATTGACTGAAATAGCCGATCAGCGCTGCACTTAATTTATCTCTTAGCCATTACCATCCAATCCGAAGCCAACTGGCCAGCCTGTCGCGCATGCGCACACGAGTCGAACCTCAATACAAGGTTCGACGAACTTTCCACTAAAAGGTCGAAAAAGTCGAACTTGGTCGAACTCGAACCGCGGCCGGTTCGCGACACCCCTACACCATGGTGCAACACTCTGCGAGCGCGACGCAATCTGGGAGAGAACTGCAACTATGGGTGTCGCGAACTTTTTTTCGAACCAGATTTTTTGGTCGAACTTTCGCGGTTCGACTGGGTCGAACCGGTTCGACGAACCTTCGACCTTTTCACCAGATTCGACTACACCTGTGCGACGGTCAGAAACCGCCGGCGGCGGCGCGCCGGTGTTTGTACCTCCGGCGGCGGCGTGTTGACGGCGAGGGGGTCAACGGATCGGCGGCGGCGTGGCAAACGGGTTTTCTTTTGACCCACTTTTGAATCAGTTTTCTTGACCCACTAAACGACATGCAGTTAGTGAAATCGCAACCCTAAATTATTTATCCCAATCCAAAATTCATTTCATGGTTTCTTTAAAAGTTCTGACTGATTTACTTTCAAAATTAGGAATATTTAGAATTTCAATACCAGCTCTTATACCTCTTGTGACGGCTTTTTGTTGGACCCTTGTTCCATGAATGCAGCAGTGGGCAGTCTGGTTAATAGCGAGTTCGTTTCACGGCACTCGTGTCCACGCGTGCCCACTCGCGGCGTAAAGCGAGTTCGTTTCGGCAGGCACTCCACGAGTGGTTGCGCTCTCCGAGTTCGTTTCAGCGGCGGCACCCCACGCGTGCATGCACTCGCTGCACCGAGAAAATCGGGCGTGCGCCAAAATGCAATCCCGTCATGCCTCGCTCCGGCGAGGCCGGCGAGGAGCGGGAGCAGACGACGAGGGTTCGTCTGCTACGATGTGTCGCGGAACCGAACGGGAAAAAAAAAGTAGATTTTCTGATAGAAATCGCGTGCCGCGGGCAACGGAATCAAACGCGAGCTTGAATTGTGAGCGTCTGCTAGTTTATGAAGGAAGCAATTGACATCTCGTGCTTTATTTGCAGGTTTTAGGTCGTTCTGTTGCCGTACACGCGCTAAAATATACCAGTGTGTCAACCAATGCTCAGAACAAACGCATCAGCGGCTTCCGAGATGTTTATCACCATCCGTGTGCGGGTGAAAAATTGAACATTTGTCGACAAAACTCCCCCAGCAGAAACCTCTGGCTGCCCAATAAGTAGGGGGCGGGGAGGGGGGGGGGGGGGGGGGGGGGAGGGAGAGGAGATCGGTGGCCGAGTGGGCTGAAGCCCACACCCAGCTCGACGCGCGTGGAGCGAAAGCTCGCGCTGCAGAACCCAGGGATCCTGGGCTCGAGCCCCATCCCTGCCCGTTTCGATCTGGATGAGCATCGTACCGGCGTGCGGTAGTGTATCACTACTGCGTGGTTCACGTTAAAGACCCCAGGTTAGCGGTTGTACCGCAGTGACTAAATTGCTCATCTACAGTGTAAACCAGTGTCGCCCCTACTGGCAGACCAACCTTACGCTCAGGGACGGGCAAAATACATGCAAATATGTATCGAAATACAAATACAAAATACTTCGTCAAAAATGTATTTAATTACAAATCTAATTACATTTCCAAAAAAGCATTTAACTACAAGATACAAATACAACCAAATGTACTTGGTCTGCTCCAAATACTTTTCCAAAAACATTCCTCAAAATCTGCGTCAGCGACTTCAGGGCACCTGCAACGGGTTTCTGGGTATCTCATTTTAATTTTGCATCGCACACTCGGGAGTTAGTGTGCGAGGCTCTAGTAACGTAATAGAAATATAATCACAAAAAAATGTAATCAGCGTGGACGTAATAGGTGAAAAAAGCACAGAGCTTCAAGCAGCTTTTTTTGTCGATTACATTTTGGTATAGACCAACAAAGAACCGATACGACCAAGACGTGCAGCACTACCTAGAGATTTTTTTATTGTTGCAACTCGCACCAGTTACGAAAATCTGGACGACCCGCGCATTTAGAATGTTCCAGACAAAAATATGAATGGAAATCAGGCTGGAAAGCATCACAAGTTGTCACAGGCACTAATTTAGCCAGTCTGCCTGTGAACGTCGATTTCGTCACTATTCTTGCCGTGGACTAGCGCCGTAATCACAAAGTCACTAAACGTTTGTGCTTGATTGACAGACACTGCATTCGGTGCAGAACGTAGTTTTCTTCCTGCTCTGGACAGTGGCAACAAATTTGAGGGATGTATTTTCGCCCACAAAATTGTATTTAATTACAATTGTATTTGAAATACCCACGTTTTAGTATTTAAATACACACGTCAAATACTTTACCCAATTTGTAATTAAATACAAATGCAAAATACACAAAGTATTTGAAATACGCATTTAAAATACTTGTATTTGAAATACTGCCCATCCCTGCTTACACTGTATAAATCACTAAAACGTCCAATTTGACTTTGACTTGCCCAATAAGTATCAGAGAAAGCTAAACAGCGACTTTACCCGAGGCTTGAACACCATCATCACGTTTAACATTTACCTACGTCAGCTAACTTGCCCCGTCGTATTTTGTTCGAGAAAGCTCTCGTTCTCGACGCCCTCACCAAGGCTAATATCTAATCCACCTATAATGACGATCCGAATCGAAAGTCCCAGTTTTGCTGGATATTCCAACAGGCTAGTTTTAAGCCGTACCCTTTCAGTGGTTCACGCATAATACCATATTCTCAAAGGGATCAAGCTTCTGCTCGGACAGCATCATCAGTTTTCTTCGGTGTAAACGGTTATAAGAATTGAAAGATGGCAACCAGCTGCTTTTTAGACAGCTGGTTGCGGAAATTTACGCCGTCTGTAACTATCTCTACGGCAGCTGAGCTGCTTGAAGTCATCGCAACTATAAACTACAGGTTGCAGCGACCAACGTTTGTAGATAAACGTTGGTAGCGACTGCACTCTCGCATTCCCACGCATCACTCCGAACAGAAAGGCGCTAGTTTCGGTTTGAAGTCGGTACCTTTTCTACCACATAGATGGCGGCAGCATCAGTCTTCCGCACTCGGTGCATTTGGCGGGTTCGTTTGAGTCCAGTTTTCCGTGCTACACCCAGAGTTCGGCGGGTGGGAGGGTCTTACGGCCCGCTAGGTCTAGCGGACTCAGCGGGCGCCGCTTCCGCCATGATGTGCCTCCCGGCGAGTGGGTCCCCATTGACATGCGATGTATACGCGTGTAGGTTTTGCCATTTGCGCTTTTGTTGGCGTAAGGAGAAAGTCGAAAAATCAAGCATCTTGTTACGTTAATCATACGTTAATCCTAAACTTACCTCGCACAGTCGAGAACTCGGCTTCCAGTCAACCCTTTTTGGTTTCCCCGATCTTGTGCCTTGCGCGGTTTTCTTTTCCTTGCGGGAACCGGTACATCCTGAACCCCTTTTTCGCGTTGTTCAAGCACGCAACGGCACTGCAGCCCCCCATTTCTTTTTCATCTAACGTCTGGCAGAGCGCAGCGCAGAACGATCATTTTCATCGTCGTCTCTCGCTCCATGGACTCTAGCGAGCCGACTGCCGGCTCGAGTCAGTAGGGCAAACGGGTTTTATCAGCCGCCACCAGCCTTACACCAAACAAGGGTGAAGCTTGCAATTTAAGTTTATAATTATAATGCAATTAAATGCAAAGGTGCAATCAAGCTAGACGGCAAGGCACATCATGGCGGGTGCGCACAGTTGCCAGACTGTTTGATCAGTGCTGCCAGACTGGCGGCTGGATCAAAGAACCGCCGAACTCTCCCGGTATAAAAGGCTCTGGCTACACCCTGCGAGTGCGATGCATTCTGGGAGAGCTCGAACGGTGCCAGTGCGTGTGAAACGAACTCGCTATAAGGCATAGAGATCATACATACTAACTCTAGAGGAAAAGGTCCGCCATTTTCCCATACATTCTGGCTGCCGCAAGCGGCGGATCATGCAGGCAGACCCTCGGGGTCCCAAACACGGTTACATCATCAGAGCAGTTTCGTGAACTTCAACAATCCACGAACTTACAGGTGGAAAGATATTCGCGTTCCTTTCGAAGCTTTCTTTTTACATAGCGCGCAGATGTACGGCCTCGCGTTAACGCTAAACTAAACCATATACCCGGCTTCGCCGGTGGGGCGCGGGTGGGCGCGGTTGAGGAATACGAAACTGCGCAACCACCAGATTTCCGAGATTTC